AAATTTGGTGAGATAAACTATTGGCTAAACGAGTCAGTAACTCAAATTTGGTGAGATAAACTATTGGCTAAACGAGTCAGTAACTCAAATTTGGTGAGATAAACTATTGGCTAAACGAGTCAGTAACTCAAATTTGGTGAGATAAACTATTGGCTAAACGAGTCGGTAAACTCAAATTCGGTGAGATAAACTATTGGCTAAACGAGTCAGTAATTCAAATTTGGTGAGACAAACTATTGGCTAAACGAGTCAGTAAATTCAAATTTTGTGAGATAAACCAAATGATTAGCTGCCTTTCACTGCTAAATTAGATACGGCTCATGTAGCTTTGCGCAAAATTCAATAAACCTGCTTTCCTAAGGTGCTCCTCTCAACAAATACAATGTTTATGCAAACCCAAAGTTTTTAAAATATTTTTTTTTCTATTAGTTATTTTTTTTAAACCTAAGTATCAAGATTATCTGTCTTACGTAAAACAATTTTATTTTCCTCCAATTTTTAACATTGAGAATACCACACTGATGATGCATTCTAGTCATCGTGTTTTGATCTTATTGTTCGTTGAATCATGAAATTACGCACTAATTGATAGTTTGTTAGACAGAAGTGGTTTGGTTAATGTATAAGTTACCAGTAATTTCAAACTTATTTATGTTAGAATAATTTTGTTGTCTCATACTTAATATTCGTTAGTAAGTTCAAACTTATTCATGTTAGAATAATTTTATTGTCTCATACTTAATATTCGTCAGTAATTTCAAACTGATTCATATTAGAATAATTTTATTGTCTCATACTTAATATTCGTCTACTGAAAATCAACCAAAATAAAGCTTGACAATCTTAAGTTGTGTGCTATACGATCTTATTTGCTTGTCACTTGGATATCTGTAAAATAGATTTGAAACTTTTAAGGAAGGTTAAGAACCTTCTGGCCTGATGAGCTATCGTGTTACGTTCAACAGTATCTAAAATATATATGTTAATTTATGTAAAGCTATTGCGCCAGTCTTGTTGTTTTAAAAGTGTGGCATACATTTGCAAAACTCCAATATGCTGTGTGGTACACGTAGCACAAGTAGTTAAAGTGTCTTACTCAATGGATCTCACGTATTTCAAAACTATATTTCACGTATATGAAACTAGACGTTGACATACTGATAACGAGGGTAATGATTATTAATCGTGGTTTTGCACTCGACATTTATATATATATTTCATCTTTATGCTAGAAGCAGAGACTAAAGTTAATGGCTCTTGTTGAACAATAATTGTAACATACGAACTGATAAAGATTCATACACGGTTGTAAAATCTGAGGGAAGACGTTTAGTTTTCATGCAGTTCTTATGCATATGTTAATTGAGAGTAGATATTTTTATTCCAAAGAACTTTGTTTTACTTTATTGTTTTTACAGTTTTGCTAAAGTAAATCAGTGATATGTGACTAGAGTATGTTCATAATTTTACTTGATTATTTTTACATTTTACTGTAACATAAAACACAGATATCTGCCAACAGAATGTTCATAGTTTTACTTGATTATTTTTATAGTTTTACTGTAACATAAAACACAGATATCTGCCTACAGAATGTTCATAGTTTTACTTGATTATTCTTACAGTTTGATGTAACATAAAACACAGATATTTAACGAGAGAAGGTTCATAGTTTTACTTGATTATTTTTACAGTTTTACTGTAGCATAAAACACAGATATGTGACTAGAGAATGATCATATATTCAATGAAGAATAATGTTATGGCAGTCGGTAAGTTGATGGTTAAGTTATTTTAAAGGGTTTTCTAATTCATAACGAGGCGACAGTTTCTTC